TTTGAGGACTTGGGATTTGACTTGAGACTCGTTTGTGATTTGAAAGGAATGACGTGGTTCCTCCTCTGGTGAAATCAGCTGCTGAGTTCATGGGTGGAATAAACATATGGCAGGACTTTTACTTTCTGACCCCTGGATTGTCCGCCTCTGGGTACAACACAGCCCACTCAACACGTGAGATCATGCGCTGATCACAGTGACATCACACCATTCTCACAGTGTGAGTAATATGTGAGCTCATTGTGAAGTCAAAATGTTGAGCAGGTTGAGAGGAGACCGTTCAAATATCGGTTCAAAAGACATTAAATCTTTTGTGATCTCAGCAGAGGATGATTAAACAACTCCACAAACAGCATCACCAGCTTCACTCATTATTAACCAGACTGACTTTATTTCTGTCAGACATCTACAAAAGCACTTATTGAGAATTAACAGATTTAGATGATGATGTTTTATTGTTTCATTTGACGCTACCATCAAGGTGATTAGTGTTTGCTTTAGTTGGGCTCTTGACCCTTGACTTTTTAACGTTATTTTTTTTGGGCTGCTGTAACTGTTTGTAACGCACATTTGTTATGGCAAGGAATACAAAAAAGAGACTGTAACCAGGTGATATGAGTTTGTTGTTGATGATAGAAGCACTATCTTCACCCAGATTCAAAATGAGTTATTAATCTAAAGTTTCTAATTATAATATTTCTTTGATTACACAGTATAGGATCCAACGGTGTAATGATGTATGAAGGATTTTGTGTAGTGTAGTAAATCAGCTCAAAAGGGAAATATTTAAGACCAATTAAAACTGGTTATGATTATGCACACAGAGACAATCAATTGTGAATATAAGGGATTTAATAAATGTAATAAAACTACTGTATATCTAACATATAACCAAACTAAGCAAAACACATATATGTATATATATATATAATTTAACTAATTGTTCTACCTCCTGGAGACGTGGGACCAAGTCATTCCTTTCAAGTCACAAGCAAGTCTCAAGTCAAATCCCAAGTCCTCAAAGAGTTAAAGTTAATGAGATAATTAAGTGGCTAATTAAATTATGATTGTGCATTAGTGATGAACACTCTACATGCTTGTCGTACCCAAGTTTAAACGATCCATGTCGCACAGTGTGACAAAGTAATGATCTTATAGGATTGCTAAAATCGTGCAGTGTATCCCGGGATTAAAAAAGGAAAATTTCATCATGTGTTGGGTTTTCCTAGATCGCATCACATTTATTCCACTCATGAACTCAGCCAGCTGATTTAACTAATGATCAGTGTTTGCTTTAGTTGGGCTCTTGACTCTTGTGTCAGATCTCTCTCTGTAACAATGCATGAGTTGTTGCAAAGTAGAGAGCGCAGTGTGCTACAGTGAGGATTAATGCGATGTATCTGGTAGCGCTTTAGTTTACGGAACGGTGTAAGTATACTGAATTTGTGATGTACGTTTCTGTAGTTATCGTGTATCTATAAAGAACATATGTGTAGGGGCACCATCATGGAGATCAGTGTTTGCTTTAGTTGGGCTCTTGACTCTTGTGTCAGATCTCTCTCTGTAACAATGCATGAGTTGTTGCAAAGTAGAGAGCGCAGTGTGGTATAAGGGAACAATGTGTTACGATTGGGTAATCAGGGGGTAACAACCAGATATGCAACCTGCAAAGAACTGCGTAAGTAAACTGAAGTTACAGCTTAACTTTTTTTGTAATTATAGTGTACCCATTCAGTACCTCCGTGTAGGTATAAGGGAATAATATGCAAAGTTTGGGGAATAAAGGGGTAACAACCTGTAAAATTACAAATCATTTATACTGTAAGTATTTTGAAACTAGTGGTGCTTATTCTAATATTACGTGGTATGTATGGCCTAAACAACAATCTTATGTTTGGGAATTATTTAGAAAGACAATATATTTTATAATTTTATATTGGTATTTTATTATAGGCGTATAGGTATTTTTTAACCATGGGGTACACATTCTATTATTAACGGATGGACATGATGGAGATTACTGAACAACAAAACTGCACTCTCAAAAATTATGTGTTAATTAATAACACATTGTTTGTGTTATGGCCATTTTAACACATTTTGTGTAATTTTAAGTTGATCATGTGTAAAAAGAAAGAGAGAGAGAGAAACAACACAATATGTGTTAACTATCATCCAATCACATTGCTGCCTGCGTCACTCCACAAGCTGTTAACCAAATTTGCGTCTCTTTTTTCACTGGTGGATGACGTGGATGCACTCATATCAGGTATATGGATTTCCCCACTAGAAATGTAATGTTCCCAGAGCATTCTCAGAGCGTCCCGCCGGTGTCAATGACGTTCCCAGAACGTTTCCCGAGATGCTCATGATGTGGAGTTTTTAAAGGTTTGGGGGATGTTATTTGGAGGACCTTCAGGGTTTAAACCTGCTCAGAGTGTATTTGGTCCCACAATACAGTGTGTTAAAATAACACTGAAGCAGAGTTTAACTTAATGAGAATGTTAACAAGCAGAATCCCGAAGGAAAGAGAAACAGAAAAAAAAGAGACAAACAGAAACACAACTACAACTGACTTAGTCACAGCCTTAGATGAAATCAACTGAAATAAAAATAATAAAATAGGTAGCATACTGTAATTCGTCAAACATTCTGCCCCCTTTTCCCCCTTACTGGAGAACAATCATGTTCAACATGAAGCCGTGCAATGATGTAATCCAAGCGATGATAGTAGTAGACGTAATAGTGTAGTCGGATGACTTTTTTATAAGGTAAATTTTTTATTTTTACAATGTTTTTGTAATGTATTAATTATTACGGGCTATAAAAAAAGTATACTAATACTACCAGTATACATTTGGTCCGAATATGTTTTATTAGCCCATATTTTCATAAGCCCACATATAAATAATGTGGTTATGTTACAACTCCCCCTTAAAGTTTTTGTCTTTCCATCTCTCCAATCCTACCCTTACAGAAAAACCACATGAACTTCACATGTTAAAATCACATATGAAATATGCAAAACACATGTGAAACGCACACAAAACGTGGCTTTTGGAAAATTTTCATGGTGCAAATATGTGTTCACATGTGACATATGGGTTTCAAACATTTACACCATGAAAATGTTCCAAAACCACGTTTTGTGTGTTTCACATGTGATCACATGGGATTCACATGCATTTCACATATTTCACATGTGATTTTAACGTGATTTTCACATGTGAAGTTCATGTGTTTTTTCTGTAAGGGAAATAATTGATAATAAATAATAAAATAATATTGGGCTTGTTTTGGGCTTGTTTTTGAAGTTGTGTTTGCCTATTTGTCTCATGAGAGTTGGCAACAGTGCCCACGGCTAAAGTAGTTCCAGGCAGGTCTTGACAGCATTGTGTATCCATATCACTTCGCCAAATGATTTCAGTTACTTTAAAGGTCCTTACAGCCTAAAACAGCAAAATAACTAAAACCCACAACAACACTGACCAAGCTAAATATAGTAAATAATAGGATAAAAACAACAAATTATTTCTGTTGTTTTTGTCACAAAATTAGGTTTTGTTATGCTCTCTCTCCCGCTCTCTCTCCCTTACAAACACACACACACATACAGTACAGAGACACACATGCACACAGAAATGTATTGTCAGCACTGCTCTGATGATTTGATCAGTAAAATAGTTTAGCAACTTTAAAGCTACATGGCATTTCTCACAAGCGAGGTAATAACAGCGCTCTTTTTGAAGAAGATAAACTTACAGTTTTGCCAATAATAGAGACGCTGCTGCAGAACATGGTTGAAAGACACACACACTTAATAAACACAGGTAATAAACACACTTAATCTCTCTCTCTCTCATAACTGCATTAAATCTGCATCATTATCAACAGCTCAAGCCTCCGTTACTAGTCTAAAATTATGTTTTGGAATTAGCAATGGAGGCGTGGGATTTGTAAAAAATTAATCCTTATGAATGTTTTGAAATTCAGCATCTGAACAATGTCTTGAGGTGTGGTAATGTAGTATAAGCAGAATAACTGATGACGGGCTGTTGAATCATTAGAAAATAAAACACACTCTAGGTGGTGATGCAGCCATGATGTGAAAGCGGAGTTACACCTCGGGTGTGCATTATTTTCTAGTAATTCAATGGACTGGAGTCAATTATTCCACTTATACTATGCCACACCTCAATTATTCCTTACTTAAATGTAGATAACAAAAACTGTCAGGTTCAAAACAAATACAAGTGGTCAGGTATGGATCAAATAAAAAAAAAGGGATCTTCAATCCTCCTTTCTGTTTTTGCTGGGGAAAAATGAAATATTATTGATGTTTGGTTTTATTAATTTATTATGATAACAGTAGTGATGTGCAAACAATTCTACACATTCGAATCAGTTTGTTCTCAAAATGATTCACTTTTTTGAACACCGCAGTTTGAGGATATCTTCTGGTCAAATGCGTGTAAATACAAAGGAAATACTTGAAAAAAGGTGAATAATACGATACAATTTAATAAGAGAGCAGGCCAAAATATCATCAAATACACTGTTTTGAAAATTTGCAGATTATGTAGAAGTTAATATGCAAGGGTGATCTTTTATAAATATATATTGTTTTTATATTGCCTGACATTTACATATAAAGTTCATACTAATACAATATTAGTTTTTATTTGTATGCTCAAGTTCTTATTTATATCTTATACATATAAACATATAAATTGTGACACAATTGATATGCACATTAAGCAAAGATTTGAAAGTGAATGATGGAAATGGTGCACTATTTGAGCATTTTATGTTCTATTTAAAAAGGAAATAAAGGGAAATTACAGTCACATCGATGCTTTAATCAAAGATAAAATGTATATAATCTTCTTGCAACAGCGCAGCAAATTAGATAATTTTGCTCAACAATAAAACGTATAACTTAACTGAAACATTGCTTCAACACTGCTGAACATAATTCATACAAATGCTATGAGAAGCGACACTGCAGAATGGGAATAAATAAAGTCATTCATTTTTTTTTATCAGGAGTTGTGATGTGGGTGTCCAGCGATGCCACAAAAGTGGAGTAAAGTTTAACTTGGGCTTCATCTTACCATGTCAGCTTGCTGTGTGGCTACAACAGAAATAAGACAAGTTAAAAACTTGCACAGAAATAAATATATTTACTATTAGTAAAATTACTCCTCTGGTCTAGCTTGTAACTGAATGAAAGTGCTGTTCAATATTATTGACTAGTAGTGATGACAGTTTCTTCTTTATTGATGATGATATTGACTTGAGGATCGTCTGCAGTACTTACTGTCTGATTCTCATGTTCAGAAGAGCCCGACTGGTGAACAGCAGGTGTGGGATGGGCGGACTATGTAAAAACATATTTATTATTTATTTATGTATTGTTTTATATGAATATATTTAAAGATTTTTGAATGCACTAATTCTTCTGCATGTGCAGTTTTTAATGTTTCACTTACTGTGAGTGTGTTGTACTGATCAGAAGATCGGGACCTGGGGTCAAGAACTGTATATCTGTTTGCATTGAGATCATCATTCTGCACGGAAACAAACATAATGAAATTGATTTTATCAATTAAAATTGCTTCATATGATCCCTTTTTTTTGCACAGTGATCCAGTGTTTGCACAACTAAAGCAAACACTGACCTCCATAACGGTAACTATAAACTTTATTATTTAAAAAAAAACTGTTGTAATTTTCAATAAAACTAAACTGGTAGTCTGGAAGCCAGTTGCTGTTTTTGTGTTTCTGCTTGTTTCTCTGTCCTTCAGTGATTCTGCTTGCTATCATCAGGTGTTCATCAGTGTATGAATTCACTCACTTCCTTTGCCAGAATGCATTGTTTGCCTGTAAATAGTTTCAGATATATTTCTATACCATTTCACCAAAGCAGAATGTAAAGAACATGTCATGAAGCATTTGTGGCACACGGTTTTCAAGAGATTAGATAAAGTATATTTCTTTTTTTTTTTTTTTTTTTTTTTTCAGAAAATGGTATGTTACTGTCAGAAATATGGCCATTTTTCTACAGCAAGGGTTTACAGTGTAGGAAAAAGCTAGCTTTTATTATTTAAGTGATTTTATTATGTGGTTCTTTTATCACCTCACCTCATACTCATGTATTGCAGATCTTCCATTCATAATTTTTCTCTGACTATCAAAAAAAACAAAAAAAACAGAAAGAAACATAAACTGTTTAATATATAATTAATAATTTGTTAATAATTATATTTATATACTATTATTATATAAAATAATATAAAATAATATTAGCTTATTTTATTTACATTATAAATAGTACAATGATGCTTATGATGATGAATAATCCTCCAGATACTACTGTGATTGGAAACACAGTACCAGCTCTATGGTGAACTGAAAGAGGAAGAAGATAATTAATCAAATGAACTGTCCAAACTGATTTAAAAAAAAGTTTGTTAAAAAAGCTTCACCTGTGACAGTAACAGCATCTGATCTCTGAGATCCGTGTTGATTGTAAGCCTCACAGTAGAAACGTCCACTCTGTAGTGCGCTGAAACTCTGTCCAGATCCAACAGCTGAGCTTTGATTCTCCTTAAACCAGCTGAAGTTCAGAGCAGGAGGGTTTGAATCACTGCTGCAGCTCAGAGTCACTGAATCTCCCTCCACTATTTCAGTAGATCCATTTATGAACACTGAGACATTCCTTGGTGCATCTAAACCAGACAAATTAAGCGTTACATTCATGTTTTACAATTGTTAACCCACTAATCTGTTTGATACCAGTTATTGAACCATCATTAACTCACACATGATGTTTAAAGTCACAGCATGAGAGTATTTCTCTCCATGTTTATTTCTGGACTTGCACTTGTATTCTCCACTGTAATCAGAACTGATATTTGAGATATTGTGGATTCTTCCAGATCCTACAAACGTTCCTCCTTTAAACCAGCTGATTTCTGCAGGTGGGTTTGAATCACTGCTGCAGCTCAGAGTCACTGAATCTCCCTCCACTATTTCACCAGAGGGACTGATGGACACTGAGCTCGGTGGGTCTAAAAAAAAAACATAAAATTAATTTGACATCAAACACTTGAAACTGATGAATCAGAATTATGAATCTCCTTCCACTATTTCACCAGATGGACTGACGGACACTGAGATGTTCCTAGGTGGGTCTAAAAAAATAAGAAAAAGAAAAAAAAGAAGAAAATCCACTAGAAATAATCAATAATTATGTATTTCAAAATTTTAAACAATGTGCAGATGATCATTAACTCACACATGACATTTAAAATCTGACACAGACAATCATTAACAACAATACATTTGAGTTCACAGATGTTTAGACGATTTAATATCACAGTTGCTTAATCATCATTAACTCACACATGATGTTTAAAGTCACAGCATCAGAGTATTTCTCTCCATGTTCATTGATGGATTTGCACTTGTATTTTCCACTGTGATCAGAGCTGATCTTTGAGATGCTGTAGATTCTTCCAGATCCTACAAACTTTTCTCCTTGAAACCAGCTGATTTCTGCAGGTGGGTTTGAATCACTGCTGCAGCTCATAGTCACTGAAGCTCCCTCCACTATTTCACCAGATGGACTGATTGAGATCTTTGGTTTCACTGGACGATCTACAGAATAAATATTTTAAATATTATTTCTAATCAGTAGTTCCTCACTGAAGGCCTAAAAGTATCAATGTAATCTCTGAGCTGAAGCTTTTACATGGATATTGAAACTGTGTCACCTGGTCATGACCAATTCACTCACACAGTGACTCTATTTGAGTTACTGGTACGGTGAACAGCACATTCCAGGGCCCAATCCATGGCGGGCCCCCTGTCTGACCACAACCGTGGACAAAGGTTTGAAATATTTTGATTGGATCTTGGTGCACTGACACAAACAAACTGTCCAACACCATTAGATAGAGATGCTAGGACAATGGCCAGACACCTCTCAGAGTGCAAGAAGAAGACCTATTCTCATTGGTCCACATCCAGTTTCTGCCCTTCACCCATCTAGAGACTAATTCCTAAGGTTTTGGCCTGTGACCGCCATACAAATTCCTTAATATCTCTGGATGCAGCAGCAGTTGGTGAAACAAAGAGAGATCACAAAGATCCATCTAAATCCATTCATGAAACCTTAAACTACAAGATTCCCATTTTATACTTCTAATCTTACACAAATTCAGCTGTTAATGGACAAATGCCTGCATGCATGACATGTGTTTTGGACTATGCAAATGAGTTGCACAGGGGGAGAGAAGGGTGGGTGTCCCCTCTGACCCAGCAACCAATCACAGCACTGAAATTGAGAAGCGCCACATTATAATCTCCTCTTCATCAGAAAGGGATAACTGTACCCATTCAACAGACACTCCCTGCCCTGTAACGGGAGAGACAGAAACAGATCACCAATGTTCTGAGCCTGCGGCCCACTACAGGGAGGCAGCAACAGATACATTCAAGTTCTGAGTCTCCAGCCTGCGTGGTAATAAAACATAACTTTGTTCACATGTTTAAACTTACAGGTTTCACAGCCCGTCTCCCACACTTGGTTCTAGGTGTGGATTCCAAATCAGGAATGTCCTGCTTCTCTGACTCCTGAGAGGCAGGGTGTGACTCAGAGGTTGTAACAGAGGACTGATCTTGTATTCCACTGGGGTCATCCTTAGCTGATTCTTGCATAGGTACCAGACAGTGATGGTTACATCTCACAATAACATGCTGTGTGTTCACAATGTAGGCCCATGGAGCAAAGTGACTGGCAACAGTTTTGGGGAGTTCTGGGTCTAGCAGTGGGAGTGTGGGCACTGTTGTTCGTAGCCTTCTGCCCATGAGAAGCTGAGCTGGACTATACCTATTCTGCAAGGGGTAGCTCGGTATGCTAAGAGAAAGAAGTAAGGATCACTGGCTTTCTTGAGAAGAGCCTTTACTATCTTAACCACATGTTCAGCCTCTCCATTGCTCCAGGGAAACTTAGGGGTGCTAGCGACATGAACAAATCCATATGAGGCACACAAAGGATGCGAATAAGTGCTCAGAGAATTGTGGCCCATTATCCGTAACCAGAGACTCTGGAACTCATGTGAATATGGGCTTGGACAACGATGTCAGTAGACCTGGTGGGTGACAACTGAGCAATCTTCCCATACCTGGAATAGTAATCCACCACAAGCAGATACATTTTAGTGCCCAGCATGAAAAAATCTGCCCCTAGCCTTTGCCAGGGCCTGTCAAGGAGCTGAGTGGGCATGAGGGGTTCTTTTGGGTTTTGTCTCTTCTTGATGCATGTCCTGCACTTGAGCACAATTTCCTTCAGCTGATGACTTAAACCTGGCCACCATACTGATTGTCTTGACCTGTCTTTGCAAATCACAAGTCCTAAGTGCCCCTCTTGCAGCTTACTAAGGACACTGTTTCTCATGTTGGCTGGAATGACCAGCCTCATGCCTGTAAGCAACAGGTCATCATTCACAGTTAAGACAGAATGTTTTGCACAGTATCGTTTCAGTATTGGGTCACTCTTGATATGCTTTAACTTACTCTTTAATTCTTCTCTCACCTGTCCCAGTTAAGCTAGCAAATTCCCTATGAGATAGTCTACATACTGTAGACTCTTCTTGTGGCTCACACTGCTTTACAGGACAGGGTGTCAACTACCTACAAATTCACATTTTGAACCTCTGGATACGAGGAGGGAGAGCATCCAGAACTTGTGACCCAAAGAGACTCAGTAATGGCTTGTGGTCGGTTTTCAATTAGAAATGCTTGCAAATGAGAAAATCCTTTAAACTTGTGCATGCCCATGTTAGACCCAGTGCCTCTTTTTCAACTTATGTATATCTCTGCTCAGTCTGAGTGAGAGATCTCAATGAGTAAACTATTGGCTTCCAACCTTCCTGCCACTTCTGCATAAGGACTGTAGTCCATAGGATGAAACTTCGACTGACAATTTACAGTCTCTTTGAGTCCTGCAGAACAGGAGGGGATGACAGTATATCTTTCAGAGTTTGAAAAGTTTTGGCCTGTTCAATGCCCCAAATCCAACAGTTCTTTTTCGACAGCAGGTTGCGGAGAGCTTTGTCTTTGTCCGCTATAGTTGAGGAATTAACTTTCCTTGCTGATTTACCATCCCCAGGAAGCTCCTCATTTCACTCACATTTGAGGGCTCTGTCATATCCCTGATGGCTGCTGTTTTCATTGGGTCAGGACTAATTCCATCAGCAGAAATAACATGACCTAAAAAGTGTACTTGCTTCAACAACTCTCACTTCTTGACATTGAGAGTGATGCCTGCCCTTTGCATTTTCTTCAGAACTATATGCAGTTGAATGTCACACTCCTCCTTTGTTCTCTCCAACACTAGAACATCGTCAATGTGACATACCATGCCTTCCAGCCTGCCAGTGACCTCTGAAGACATTCTATTCTGGAAGTGTTCTATAGCGGTTATTCCGAAAGGAAGCATTTTGATAAGTAACAGCCAAATGGGATTATGAACGTTTTGCACCGTGCAGATTTCTCTGACAATGGTACTTGCCAGAATCCCATATTGGCATCTAACTTACTAAAACTCTGCGCTCCAGCTAGCATTAATGTCTGTCCAACTGATGGCAGAATGGAGAAGCCCATGGTTTAAGACTGATGACATATGGCTGTTGTACTTCACCTAGACTGCTCCACAATTTTGGGTAGCTTATATGTTTCAACATCAATGCTATCTAATCACGCCACAAGCTCAATCCTTGCAATAGCCGGTCTGCCCAGAAGTGCAGTGTGCAAATTTCTGATTACATACACATCTTCCTCAGACTGTTTTCCACCTTTATTTAACAGCAGACTGGTAACTCCAACTGCATGTAAGGGGACTTTCCCTGGTCCCAGCAACAGCCTTGTTGCATCCCTGAGGGCAGGTAAGTTTTTAAAAAATCTTCTCAAACATGTCTGCTGGAATGATGGTGACATCCACACCGGTATCAATTTTAAATGGCACTCTTTTAGGTCTAAGTCCACCTTCCATGGTTTGGCAGGTCTTGTGATACTGTCCAGCAATATAGGGTCACCCTCACACACTTCCCACACAGTTTTTGATGATGCACATGCCTGCTTGCAGTGGCATTTTTTTCCAGCAGAAGTGACATTTTACATAATTTGCTGGACAATTACACTTTGTGTGTGCCGGAGAGCTACCACATTTATGGCACTGATTGCTATTCATCTTACTGGAGTGTGATACGTGTGACTTTAGTTTAGGACTATTCCCTTTTTGGGGTCTCCCCAAATTATGCTTTCCTTTGTACACTCTAAAGACAATCAAGCTGCTTGTTTTTGTACAATCAGATTTTTCAGTTAGAGCAGCAGAAAGATGGAATTTAATACCTGTTTATATTAGAGAGTGTACAACATTTAATTTTTAAAGCTACGCTTAAACTATGGCTTAAGGAAAATCAAATATGTGATAATTGACTTGACTTTTTATTTTAATGGAGTTCTTGTATTGTATGTGATATTGTATGTATTGTATTGTTTGTGACTGAATATTGTAATTTTGCAACAACATCCTGCCCAGGGACTGCAGATGCAAATTAGCTTTATAGCTGGCACAACACTTTTATTGTGCATTGTCCCTGTATAAATAAATGTAATTTATTATTTAAAATGTTTTTATAATATATATATATATATAAAAAAAACTAAACTAAACAGAGCTAGCATCTGCAGCCACAGTGTCTGACAGTGCTTGCTGTCATTTCACCATTGCACTTGCTTTTTCCAAGGTCAGCTCAAAATCCAGCTGCATATGCTCAGAAAGCTGTCTGTCTGCCAACCCCACAATGAGCCTGTCTCTAATCAGCTTGTCACATAATGCTGAGTAATTATAATGTTCAGCCAGAGCATTCAAAGCTGTCATAAAAAAATCAACAGTTGGGTTTTCCGTGCCCGTTCATAAATTACATTTCTCTTCCCAATGAAGTATGCCTCAAAGCCTGCTTTTAGTGCATCACACTTTCTTTCATCAGCGTCTGCTAGTGGTAATCCACAAAGAACATCATCACCCTCATCTCCCATGCAGTAAATTAAAGCATTTACCTGATTCTTGTGGTTTAGAAAAGTCTAATGGCTCAGGTGGCCGTATGCTGAATGTAGCGCTCGGTCCCGTTGCTTTTGGTGCAGCGACCACATTATCTCCGCCGTCCATTTCAGCTCAAGCATTCTTTCTAAGTTATCTGGGCTTCACAAGCTAGCTAAAGCAGCTAAAATGTCAAATTACAGGACTTCAGATGCCATGTTGTGTATCTCAAATAATGACTCTGGATTCAAACTATGTCAATGTGCTTTTACTTTAAAACTGTTGGACAAAGTTAAGTACATACAGCTCACTGGCACTTCCCTGTCACTCTCTCTTGATGTCATATAACCCACTCCAACCTTGAATCCCATAGCAACAACCCCACATGATATACTTATAACCACAACATAAGTGACACATGATCCAAAAATCGCCATGTCATTGGGGACATGAGTACCCATCACTACATTATTTCACCTCACTGGGTGGGTGAAAGTAAAATCACTACATTCGTGTTCAGATCTGTACTTCATTCCAGATAGCAACATATTGTCGGCCCAGATCCGGCCCACATCTGGCACATGTGGAATTATGATCTGGCCCACATGTAGCGTGGAATGATGGCACTTGGGTGGACTGCTCCTGTTTGCCAGATCTGGGCCACAAGCAGGCCATAGCAATGCCACATGTCAGCCAAGAGCAAATAAATAAACCACACTGGACCTTATCTGAGTCACAAAATCTTCATATACTATTTATAGAGTCCTCTCAGCGTGTCTAAGCTTGTTAACAAGCAAAATCACTGAAGGAAAGAAGAGAACAGAAAAAAGGGACAAACAGAAACTCAAGAACTACAACTGAATGCAGCCACAGCCTTAGATGAATTCAGCTGAAGATACAAGGCATTAAATCTCTGAAGATCTCAGCAGAGGAGGATTAAACAACACAAACAGCATTACCAGCTTCACTTATTATTAACCAGACTGACTTTATTTCTGTTAGAGGTCTACATAAATTCTTATTGAGAATTAACAGGGGTTTTAAATCTCAAAAATCTGTTTAATTTGAAGTCACCATAATGGTGATTGGTGACTGCATGCTTTTGTGGCTCAGATAAGGGCCAGTGTGGTTTATTACTTTGCTCTTGGCTTATATGTGGCATTGCTATGGCCTGCTTTTGGCCCAAATCTGGCAAACAGGAGCGGTCCGCCCAAGTGCCATTATTCCAGATGTGCCTGATGTGGGCCAGATCTGGGCCGACGATATGTTGTTATGGGATGTGATCAAGATCTTTCAGACTAGAGTAAGTAAATAATTTCTTAATGGATCTCACTCTCAATATTTTCATGCAGGAGCAGAAAAGGTACGCACTATAGACACTATTGTACTCAAATTGTTTGTTTAAATGACTGGTGTGATTGTGAGAGTCAACCCCATTAATTACAAGAATAGCCCACATATTTTTGCCTATGTACTTTACATTGCTGGAACCTTCAAAGACTATTAACTGGAGAATTAAGAAATGTTATGTAGTCACTTATCAAATACACTTGTTTCATTATGAATTTCTTTAGCTGGGGATTTGCCAACTATTGGACTACCTGTTGAATCCTCTTACACAGGTATTTTTGATGAAAAAATACAATATCATGCAAACTTAAATCAGAGCTAAAAGTTAAACACTTAAATCATTATGTTAAAAATCATTAACTTACACATGACGTTTAAAGTCACAGCATCAGAGTTTTTAACTCCATGATTATTTCTGGACTTGCACTTGTATTCTCCACTGTCATCAGTGCTGATCTTTGAGATGTTGTAGATTCTTCCAGATCCTACAAGCGTTCTTCCTTTAAACCAGCTGATTTCTGCAGGTGGGTTTGAATCACTGCTGCAGCTCAGAGTAATTGAATCTCCCTCCACTATTTCACCAGATGGACTGATGGACACCACTACATTTCTTGGAGCATCTAAAATAGCAAGAATGAAATGTCTCATCAATGAACAGTAATAAAATACACTGGAACTGGCAGATCTATTGTCAGTTCTTGCATCAACATTCACTTACACATCACATTCAGCATCACAGTGTCAGAGTATTTCTCTCCATGTTTATTTCTGGACTTGCACTTGTATTCTCCACTGTGATCAGAGCTGATGTTTGAGATATTGTGGATTCTTCCAGATCCTACAAACGTTCCTCCTTTAAACCAGCTGATTTCTGCAGGTGGGTTTGAATCACTGCTGCAGCTCAGAGTCACTGAATCTCCCTCCACTATTTCACAAGATGGACTGATGGACACTGAGACGCTCTTTGAAGGATCTAACACAGAAAAACTTTGACATCATTAAGTAAAACAATACATTTTACATCATAAACTCTGTTTAGAGGATTTAAAGTCACTGTTACTGAACCATCATTAACTCACACATGACGTTTAAAGTCACATCTCAGCAGAAGATGATTGAACAACTCCACAAACAGCATCACCAGCTTCACACATTACTAACCAGATTGACTTTATTTCTGGAGTATCTAAGACAGAAGTTCTTTATTGAGAATTAATGGTTAAGTTTTTTTTTTTCTTTCAACTTACCGTTTTTGTGAATAGTGTTTGCTTTAGCTGCCCCTTGACGTTTTAAATTTAAGTTTCTCTTTGGCTGGCACAGTTGCGTGTATTAAATACGTGTCTGATGGCAAGAAACTTATGATAAAATCATGTCATGTGTCTCAGTCTTCTTTATCTAAATTTATCTAAAACTGTAGTGCTTTTATGATTCCTATGTTGTTGCAGTTATATGAGACAACGTGAGAAAAATGTTATTTTTGTGTCTTAAATCTCTTTTATAAATATGGTTCATTAAGAGGTTTCTGTTCTGGTATTCATAGACATGAAGAATCAGCATGTGAATCTCAGCAATGGTGACAAAATATTCTGATAATTTTTATGTGATTTTTGAACGTCACAAAACAAGGCAGTAAAAAGTCACAACAAAAAATAACAAAAATAAAAGCAAATAGTAAGAATAAAAGTATTTCTCTCCATGTTTATTTCTGGACTTGCACTTGTATTCTCCATTCTCATCAGAGCTGATCTTTGAGATGCTGTAGATTCTTCCAGATCCTAGAATTGTTCCTTCTTTAAACCAGCTGATTTCTGTAGGTGGGTTTGAATCATTGCTACAGCTCAGAGTCACTGAATCTCCCTCCACTATTTCACCAGATGGACTGATGGACACTGAGATGCTCTTTGGTGCATCTAAAGAGGACAAACATGACATGTGTAGTTTCAAACATAAACATAAAATTAATAAATAGAGCTAATGAATCTGTACTCACACATGACATTGAGATATGTTGAGATTCATATGTTGATTCTTGATGTCTGTGTGTCTAAACAGAATAGATGTTCTATACTGGTGTGAAAAATGTTTTCAAAGCTCTTCATATTGTTTTATTAAAACACAGTTATGATCAATAACAAACCGTATTAAACATAATCTCTGACGATATTAGTGAACTTAACTACAACATGACAACTATGTCATAATCATAAAAAATGGGCAATATAATCTAAACACATTTTCCCTTGGTTTGTCTTGCTATAATAAGCGTGTTTCATAAACACAGCTACAGCAACCAGAGAAAAACTAATGTTAAAAAAAAGCCAAGGGTCAAGAGCCCAACTAAAGCAAACGCTTTTTTACATGTCAGACGCACTGAATCTCCCTCTGTCACTCTCTCAGGAGCCTCCACCTGAAGATCTGAACACAACACACACATTATATCTAGTGCTGCTGTCATACACTGATTATTATTCAACATAATGCTCAGAAGAAGAGTGAAATCTCATCAAAGTCACCTGTGACAGTAAGAGTCACTCCTGGAACACCAAGCCATTTATCTTTATCAGTGATGAATCTGAAATAGTACATGTGTTCATCCTTTTGTGTCACATGACTCAGTCTGATGGTGCAGTTCTGCAAAGCAAACGCTTATCTCCACAACGGTGACTTCAAATTGTGTTATTTTCAATAAACAATAACATCTAAATCTCTGTTAATTCTCTCAGTCTGATGGTGCAGTTCTGCTGTTTATCTCCCAGATACTGAAGCCGCTGACTGTATTCAGCGTCCATTAAGAGATCTGGATAGCATCCATTGTTTTTGGTCCAGAACACTTTCATGATCTGATGTCCAGTAGGGTATGTATAAGTACAGTAGATTGTCACGGTTGACCCCTTTAGTGCACAGATGTGTGAAGAGCCATAACTCACACCCCAATCATACTGCCCATAAACTCCTGAAACCCACAAAAAAGGGATAGTTCACCCATTTTTTTAATCACTATCCCCTCATGCTCATCATATTCATAATATCCCAAATATTGACTGCATAAATGATGATACTTTATAGTTCCTTTTAAGGGGACATTTGTCTCCTGCATAACAATATAACCTCATCAATAATAATCACACAGTCATGTCTTTTTACACTAGAATGAAACATTATTTTAGGTGAAGGAACAAAAGTGTTCTTATAGAAGTTGTATCTAATCCTTGGGGTGCGGAAACAGTGACCAGATGGACAGAGGTGTAAAATCCAGCGGTCAACAAGTAAAATTCCGAGGGAAAATGGCGGACGGTTGTTGGAGTTAGACGCGTGTGTGTCTTGCTCCCGCCACAGTGTGGTATCTTTACCTATTTTCATAATCCCCACCTCGCTTTTTTACTCAGATTTGTTTAGGAACATACTACGGTGTTTTCTTTATCTTTATCATGGCTTCTAAACAATCAAAACAACATAAGAAGGATCCGAAACCCGAGGCGTCAGTAGATGACGACGCAAAACTTAACATGGCGTCAATCGCTAATTTACTGGAACAGAACAGACAGGCCCTCTCATCAGACTTTAAAACTGTTACCTCATCACTAGAGGCTACACAGTAAATTCCCGAGTGTTAAATTAACACTGCTCGGAGCATATATGGTCCCACTCTAAAAGAGTGTTAAAGTAACACTGAAGCAGTGTTAAAGTTAATGAGATAATTATGTGATTAATTAAGTGCTGATTGAGCATTAGTGATGAACAGCTGCTGTTAACAAGCAGAACAGAAATAAAAGACATTAAATCTCTCAAGATCTCAGCAGAAGATGATTGAACAACTCCACAAACAGCATCACCAGCTTCACACATTACTAACCAGTTAGACTTTAATTCTGGAGTATCTAAGACAGAAGTTCTTTATTGAGAATTAATGGTTACGTTTTTTTTTTCTTTCAACTTACCGTTTTTGTGAATAGTGGTTGCTTTAGCTGCCTCTTGACCCTTGACGTTTTAAATTTAAGTTTCTCTTTGGCTGGCACAATTGCGTGTATTAAACACATGTGTGATGGCAAGGAACTTATGATAAAATCATGTCATGTGTCTCAGTCTCTGATTGCAATTTATCTAAAACTGTAGTGCTTTTATGATTCTATGTTGTTGCAGTTATATGAGACAACAACATGAGAAAAATGTTATTTTTGTGTCTTAAATCACTTTTATAAATATGGTTCATTAAGAGGTTTCTGTTCTGGCACTCATAGACATGAAGAATCAGCATGTGAATCTCAGCAATGGTGACAAAATATTCTGATAAT